TTAAGATGGACCAACTACTTGAGGCCATATATCAAGAGGGGCAAGTTTTCGTCTGAAGAGGTACAAACCATCCTCAACCTTCACCTCTATCCTTGGCAACAAGTAACTAATCTTTTCCACGCATAGCCTTTCTTTTATTATTTGTAGATATATAATAAACATGATTAGAACATGATGATTTCTTTTTTTATTCATTTTCTATGTAAAATTGAAATCATTACTTATTAGGGATTTCAAAGGTATTTGTGTTGTTTAAAATCAATAACGATTTCTAGCTGCATCCACTAAATTGCATAACCTATTAAATTTGTCAAATTTTAAAGTATGTTAAAAAAATCTTTTAAGTGAAAGGAATGCGTGATAAAATCAAGTTTATGAGAGCTATTATATGGAAGAATGCAAAAATAATTGAGGATAAAATCTCTAGAATTAAGATTGAGTAATTAAAATAGAGAAGCATCTCAAGAGTGTTAGTGATAAAATGATATTATGGAGTCTTAAATGACAAATTTAATAAAATAGTGATTAGATCAACTATGCTTTATAGATCTAAGCATTTAGTAATTAAAAGACTATTGATATGTAAGTTGTGCATATAAAAATGAGAATGTTAAGTTAGATGTATTATGAAATTAGAAAGAAAAATTAAATATATTATATAAATTGTTGAAGTAGCATCTGTTAGAGATTAGGTGATTAAAAATAAGCTTAGGTGGTATAGACATGTACATAAAATGAAAGTAGAAAATACAACTCATAGAAGTATGAATAAAGTTAGTGTTAAAGGCTTAGGAAGGAAAAAAAATACAACCAAGATAATATCAATACCATTTTTTAAAAATAAGAAAAAAATACAACAAATTTTTTTTAAAAAATACAACCGAGGCTTAACCATTTTTTTAAAATAAGAAAAAAATACAACAATTTTTTTTTAAAAAATACAACCGAGGCTTAAAAACCTTCCTTCCAAGTCCCCCATTTATTTTATCTTGAAATTAACAACAACTCAACCTCCCTCTAATTAATTAAGGTGTTCCACTTTTTTTTTTCTCTGCATGTATATTTCACTTCCACTCTTTCGAAGAACATATCACAAAAGAAAACAAATGGATAAAAATATTGAAAAGAAAGAGTTTTCTTTTTAGGATAAGATTTCTAACCTTTTTAAGTTATATTAAAATGTGAATTCTGTTTAATAATATAGAAATAATATATACAATTATATGATAAAATGTTTTTCGGATCCACATCAACTGAGAACCTTTTTTGGGAAAAAAAATTGAAAGAAACATATTATAGAAATAATACAAGTATATGGTTAAAATTATTTGTAGGAATAAATTTATAAAATGAAATTATTATTTTAAATGAAATATAATAATAAAAAAATAAATTTCTCTCAAATTAATTATGTTAAGATATTTTATTTATTATTCATGTTTAAAATTTTATTAATGTACAATTAAAAAAAAAACTTATAACTTTCAAAGAATTCCAACTGAAAAAATAAATAGTTTGTTTATTAACTAATAAATAGAATTTAATATTAAGATTATTCACGAATAATAGAAAATCCATATCATATAAAACTATTTACCTAATAATATAAAACTTATCATAATGATTATAATTATTTACAATGATAATTCTTTTTTCATCTTAATAATGATAATATAATTAAAATATATAATATGAATTTTTATTTTTTAAATTTTAATCACATGCATTTAATGTACGAATATTTTTACTAGTATATATAAAAGAGGACCATCAAATGATACATAAATAAAATTGAGTACATCCATCAAGATTTGATACATAAATAAAATTGAGTACATTGATCAAGTGATACAAACTGGTTCATGCGGAGACTACATTCTTCAAGGAAATTTTCATTAAATAGAGATATGAGGAATGTGAGCAATCTTGTGCCTATCGGAGCCTCCATCCACTCGATAGCGCTCCTTAAACTCTGGATGACATTTCCAAGTATATAGATGATTCAAAGAGGGAGGAAGGTTCGGTAATTCCCGAAGCATAGGAACATCATAAATATGTAGGCTCTGAAGTGAAGATAAGCTTTCCAAGGAGGAAGGGAGAGACTCTAAGGATTTGAGATGTTGGAGGCGCAGCATAGAAAGAGAAGACCTAACATTGAGAAACCACTGCTCCGCCTCATTTGGAAATGAAACCAGCTTATCATTATCCCAAATACTCAGCTTTTTTAAGGAGGCGATACTTCTCAATGGCTCCATTAGCAACACCGATGGATCACTTATTTCAAGATCGCTCAGCATGAGATGGCAATTATTACTGGTTTGCATTTCTCCGAGAGAGATCAGATTGGGGCAATCTCTAATTGTCAAGTATCTTAGTGCTGCAAGTCTTGCTATTTCATCAGCCAGATGAAGAGATGTAATGTTTGGACACTGAAAGACGTCTAATAATTGAAGGGGAATAGGATTTGAATTGCTACGAAAATTCAAAGTCGTCCACCCAGTTCTAAGTATCTTCAAGGTCTTGAGCTCAGAAGGCAAAGAGGGCAACTCTTTCAACTTCGGGCAGTTATACAGATATAGATCAGTTAAGCAAGGAAACAAACATCCGTCTTCAGCAGCTACTCCTGCCTCAAACCAATCCTCTAATGCTTCTAATCTTGTAATATGTAAAACCTCTAGCAATGGAAAGGCTCGGTATTTATCATTCCCATTAAATTTACTTTCGAGCCATTTTACTTTCGGCATGTTATAAAGTTTCAGTGACTTGAGGAAGCGAAGTTGCCCGAAAGGAGGAAGAGTTTCCCACTCCAAACAATCGTCCACTCGGATTGTCTCTAGATTGAAGATCGAATTGACATTGTTCATCCATTTTGCAGACCTTGCACCCCTGTACTTCTCTATCCTCAAATTCCTAAGACATTTTGGTGGCTGAAGGTTGTCGAGCACGTTCTCATCTAAATCAATGTTCCCGGAATCAATGGTACTCCAACATAAGGTTAAATTTGTGAGCCTCCTCTTTTCACATAATTTGGCACTACAAGCCTCCTCAGCATCCTTAATCTTTTCAAGGCAATAGATTCCTAAATTGCAAAGATCATTCATATTCTCTAGCTCCCCAATTCTATAACCACTCTCATCTCTAAGTACAAACTTATTCAATTTTTGAAGAGACTTTAGCTTCCCAATCCCACATATCACAAAATTGAAATTCCCGGGCAATTCCAGATAACGCAAGTTAAAAAGGTTATTAATATCACTTGGTAAAAAAACATCAGTTTCACCACAAGTTAGAATCAATTTGTGATCATAGATTATGTATAGCAAGTGATAGAGATTACTTAGAGAACTTGGAAGCCTAGTGGCATAAAATGATTCAACTCTTGTCTTCAAATATCGAAGATGTTTTAAATATCTAATCTCCTCCGGTATCATTTCCAATGCATGATAAGCACGTATGTATAATAAGCGCAGGCATCTTGATGCTTCGAATATTTTAGTAAGTGCACTGCCAAGATCCTGATTAGAATCTTCATAGAACAAGAAAAGAGACCGCAAATGTTTAAACTTCTCAATCTTTCTTAAGATGTCTAGATTTGTAGTTTGAACAGATAAGTGTCGAATAGTCTCAAAAATCTGATTGAGAGATGACTCTTCATCACCCACAAGTTTACCGCATTTATGTGCAAAAAATTTAGATGCTGACTCATGTATTAAATCATGCATCTTGTAGCGCCCATATTTGACCTTGTCAAATAAATTTTTTTTGACTAAAACATCAAAATACCTTCCTCCGATATCCTCCATAATCGTTCCTTGAGACGGCTGAATGAAACCCAATGCAATCCACATTCGGACTAAATCATCTTTATCAAACTCATGATCTTCTGGGAACATAGAACAAAATGCAAAACAATTTTGTAGATGATTTGGCAGAACTATATAGCTCAGTCTTAGGATGGAATTGATGGAATTCTGATCCAATAAATTGCTTTCTAGAACCGTCCTCCAATGCCTTTCATCCAAGTTGTTCTTCAGAACACCACCAATGACTTTAGCAGCCAATGGAGATCCTAAAAGCTTTTTAACTATCTTTCCAGCAATGGCTCTTATATCATCAGGGGGATTCTCTACACCAGCAAATGCATGAGAGTTGAGGAGCTGCAAACACTCATCTTCATCTAGGCCCTCTAATTTAACTTTTTCCACCTCCTTTTGAATTACCTCTGCAAACATCAGTGCAACCGAGTCCGTTCGAGTTGATACCAGAATCTTACTACCAAAACTCCCAGAAGCTAGAGGGGCGAGCACATCTTCCCATTTGCTTTTATCCTTCTCCTCATCCTTCACCCAAATATCATCCAGCACAAGTAAGAACTTTTTGGACATCAGCTCCTCCTTGAGACCCCCTTGAAGTGCCACAAGTGTATCCAAACGAGGCCTCTCCTTCTTAAGACATTCCAACATATCTGCAATGACTTTTTTAGCATCAAAGTTGTTGGAAACACAAACCCAAATTTTAAGATCAAATTCCTTTGTGACTTCATCTTCATAAACATGCTGCAAGAGAGTTGTCTTTCCCATACCACCATGTCCCACTATAGATAGAAGAGAAATGTTTAGGATTATATTTATTTTTAAATTAGTTTTTAATATTTTAAAATTACAATTTCTTTCTAATAAAGTTTTGATAAAAAACAATTAAATTTTAAATAAAAATATTATTTTTTATCTAATATTGCATATATTAAATGGATATTTTAATTAATTTTTTTTAAAAATATTTCATAAATTAAATTACTAAAATTAAAATAATAATAAAAAATATTTAAATAATATTCATATAACATTGTGTAAAAAGATAATATCTCCTCATCTCTCTCTTAACCTTAATGTGACTCTCTCTTTTTTCCTCTCTCTCTCTCCCTTTAATATATATTATTTATTTTGAGTAGAATATCCTAAATAATAAGGTGCATTCAGATTAAGCCAATTCATTTAGCATATTTAAAATGCGCCAAAAGATTTGGCTATTTTGCTTCGTTTTAAATTATTATTTTTAGTACGCTCCTTAAGTTAATTTCAAAAAATTATGAGTTTCTTATTAAATTTTGGTCTTCTCCATAATTGGAAGCAAAAGCTGATAATCTTCTGCATAACTGGATCAAGAGACATCCGCCATGGCAACGACGATCGATGTAGGGCATAACAACTTAACAGCAAAAAAAAAAAGGAGTGTGGAAGAGATGAAGATTAGATAGTCTACCGGCTCAAGTTCGTGTTTGATTCTAGCCTTACTGCTTTCATGTTTGATTTGTTTAAATTAAGGGTATTCATGTTTGGTTCATATTCGATTCATATTCGGTTCGTTAGTGTTTTCGAGCTTTAAACAAACAAACCTTAACGAGCTATGTTCGTGAACATATTTAGCAAATTTTTTTACACTATCAAACAACACATTCATGAACAATTATAATGAGTATTCTTGAGCCATCAAATGAGTAAGGTCATGAATAAATACATAACTAGTATTTTCGAGCTATCAAATGAACTCGTTCATGAACAAAAAATTTATGATTCATTTTATATTTATTCATAAACATCTTAAAAAAAAATTTAACTCATTTTCTTAATGAGCCAAACCAAACAATGATGAAACACATTTAAGTTCAGCTCATTCCAGCTATAGATACTTTCCAACTATTTATCTTTTCAAAAGCTATCTTGGAAGTGCGTTCCTTGTCAAAAAAGCCACTATATATGGTCCAATCGCCCTCATGTGGCTTTCCTTTGAGAAAAGAATTGGATTCTTGCAAAAAGTAGTCATAGATAATTACCCATTATGCCCTCTCTTTTTAATTTAATAATATTATTTTTTAACAAGGAACGCAATTTTCAAGATAGCTTTGAAAAGAGAAATAATTACACAACTCTCTTTGGCCTATTGGTTGAGAGCTTAGGCTTCCAACTAAGAGGTCCAAGATTCGAGTCTATGTGTATGCGTTGTGTGTGAGTTTACCTTAAATGGCCTAAATTTAAAAAAAAATAATAATAATAATTGGGAAGTATTTACACCGTTATGGGAGCCTCTTTTTTTACTTCCCTGCAAATTAGTACCTAATGGTTGGTAAAGTTTTCTTCTGTAGATATATAGAAATTTTGCTTAATAAAAATTATATTAAAGCTATTGAACCTATGCATTTTCTTCCAAATTCTACATTCACCCATGTGGTGTCTGTTTGTTGTGACGGTTCAGAACTTGCTCATAATTGGCATGCAAACCAGCCTATTAAAGAAACCTGTAGCTGATCCACCTTCTTAATTTTGTAGAGCTTTGAAAGCAAGGTAGATGATTGTTCTTTGTCACAATTTGCTTTAGATCAGTATTGAACATTGAACAATCTACAGAAATGATCTTTTTTTTGCTTTCTTTGCCTCTGTAATTATGGTGTGCTGGCCTCTGTAATTGATGGATGTCGCTGTTTGTCTTTTTCTTAAAGCATATTTTTTCATTTATCAATTCGATTCTTGTCACTTCATTTAGGTGTTGTTTGAGACAATTTTCTTGCTACTTTTTAAAGTATTTTTTTAATACAAAAATTTATAGTTTAAAAAAAAAAAAATTGTACTAAAAAGAAGGGGTGGATCCAACTTTAATTTTTAGGGGGTCAAACTTATAAGTAACTGTTGACGTTGTTTTCTAATACAATTTATATTAGAATAGGCTTTCAAATCATTAAATATTTTGAGATTTGTGCTACATATGAAGACTTTGTATTCCATTAATTTCAAATAAATTTAATTATTTTCTAGCTCATCTTAATATATTTATCAGGTTTGCTTAATTAATTTAAAATGACTTATAAGAATACCTTCTTATGCTTATAGTTAATTATCCTTATTGATCTCCAAGCTATCTGACCAATTCAATTAGTTTATTATCCTTATTACTACCTGTGGAATTCATCTAATTAATTTAATTGACTGACTAATTATCCTAATTAATGCACAAAAAGAAAATTAATTTTTTAAATATAATATCAACTTATTTATAAATGTGAACTAATTAAACTATCTATGACTGAATAGCATAATTACAATGCTAATGATCATTTAATCTTCAAATAGTTCAACTTGTTCACTTCCCATTATAATATAGGAAAATATTACAATTGAAATTTACTATTTAATTTTTTAGAGTAAATTTCAAGATGAGAAGGCTATACAATCAAGCAATATTTGCCTACAAGCCTTGATCAATACATAGACAAAATTGTGCCTACATATCACATAATATATGAACAAGTTATTTGTATGGTCCACAAGCTCTGAAATGCAATGCCATATAAAACATCAATCATAAATGCTTAAAAAAGATTATAAATTAATCATTATTTGATCAATCCACCTTATTCCATATGTGGTGCCTAGCTATTGAAATAGCATCATGTATACTTTAATTAAGGTCTTTATTTTTTTAAATTATGATGAGTACTTATCCCGTTTAATAAACAAGTAGGATTTGAGTCATCCATTCCGATCCATTTATTAAATGGATTAGGTTCAAGTTGGCCCATCAACCTGATTTTGATTTTTGACTAAAAAATGAGTTGTGTAATATATTTTTTTCTTAAATTCTTTTATTTGTTTTTATAATTTTTTTTAATTTGTGATCAATATAATTAACCTAAAATGTATAGCTAACAAGTTAATAAAAATAAAGTTTTTAAATAAAATGGGTTATCATGTTCGGTTCAAATTGCTAGTAGATCTGGTTTAGGTCCACCTTTTTTATTCATTTATTGAACAAGCCAGATTCAGGTCTGGTCAATTTTGTGTCGAACCGAAATTTGATATGTTGACCCGTTTTGACACTCCTCTTCTCCACTTTCCCAAAGATGTAATGCTCCAATATGAACTATAACTACTCTAATTTTTTTCTTAAAAGAATTTTACCAAGAATAACTAGATCACCAAAAAACATTTGATTCCCTAAGGGCCTTAATTTTTTAATGCATCAAACATTTTAATATTGAACTTCTTTGCCATTGTTCTTTTCAACTTATTGTAACAAAAGTGACAGACATAATTTATAATGGTCATGCAAATAAATAATGATCTGATAAAATAATTAAAAGAAAAATAAATTATAAATTAAATGATACCAAAAATTTAGGGCTTAGCTTCAACAAAGTATAGATCTATGAGAAAGGAGAGATCTAAAGTACTAATAAATATAGAAGGCTCAATCATTTTATACAAAATAAAGGTCATCACCCTTTTTAAAATTCAAATAATCCTATGAACCAATAATAAATAGCCTAAATAATCTCTTGCAAAAGATTGTTATATTTCATAAAGTATCCAAATTAAGATATTTGCATACCTAAAAACCCTTGCTATGATGATGTCTTGATTCTTCTTCCCACATGAAACCCTATACTAAATAGAATTTTACCAATGGCTCCATTAATAACTTATAAATTCCAATCTTATAGCCATTGGCCTCTTTAAATAGCTCAAGAGAAAAATCATATGTGACTTAATGTAATTGAACAATCACCCTAGTAAATGAAATTGCTTAAGACTAAGGCTTCGTTTGGGACGGCTTTTTTACTGCTTTCTAAAACGGAGTTTTAATACAAGTTTTTTTATTTTTTAACTAAAACTCCGTTTTAGAAAGCAATAAAAAAGCCGTCCCAAACGAAGCCTAAGTTCCAAATAGTTAGAGCCACTTCTTAAACCCGTAAAGAAAGCCTCTAAAATCATACATGACAATGACATGTTGATACTAATAATATAATTTATTTAATGAGAAGAGAGAAAGTCTCTTAAATATTAAGACATCTTCTAGTGTACTCGTTGAAAACTTTTGAAGAACTCCAAAATTAAACATTTTTAAATTAAAACACTTCTAAGGTTTCGTTTGGGGCAATTTTCTTATTGTTTTTTAAAGTGATTTTTATCAAAAATAATTTTGATCTATAACATTTTGTACTAAAAAATTGCTTTAAAAAATAATAAAATAGAACTATAAAAACCCAGTTTATTTTCTTTTAACAATGAGTTAAAAAAAGTACCAAACATATTATGGTCGACATTTTGTTTTCCTTTTTTGGAGCAAATACTGACAGAAGGAACCTATAAGTTGACCTCAGTCACATGGAACTGAGAACAGTGCAAGGATTTTTACATGTGAACTTTCTCCACGATAATCAAAATGCAGAATTAATACTTAAATGCAAAGTTGTTACAACTTCAATGCATAAATGGTTGGTGGCTTTTCCTAACTCATCACTCTACTATTGTCAAACCTCTTCTTTTTTGGAGTTTCTTTTTAGTTTTTATTCACATTTAAATAAAAGAAAAATGTTAGGAAAACATTGTTGGGCGAAGTACAGATCTTAAAAATTACCTGAAAGACATCAATTTGATCCCTGAAGAGGTTTACTCCATTATCTTACTTGAATCAAGCAGTTTTTTTTGTTGCAAATCTAGCCTATTAAATAAAATTATATATTTTAGAGTCTATGATAATTTGTATGAATCCTAGTTTGTGAAAAGGTCAGATATAAGTTTTCAAGCACATGCTTGCTGCTTATGGTCTTAACTCTCAGAGCAATATTATAATGTATATTGCTTGAATTTTACAGGTTCTTGTTCTTGGTCAGCCTGGAGAGGAAGTGAGCTTAGAACTGATACTTAGAGTGGTTGCTGATGTTGGCCTTGTGGTAAGGGAAAATTATGCCTGTATTACTTTTTAAAAACATCACTTGTAGTTATTAATTTTTCATAAACATCACATGTAGTTATTAATCTGTATTTAGTTGATCGTATAGTGTTGACCTTCATAATACAGCCAAAAGAGATAGGAAATAAAAAATTACCTGAATCACTATCTCTGCTGCAACCCATACCAAAATCCCGCTCCATATCCTGCTCCCTCTACAAACGGCGCCGAAGTGTCGTATCTCGCGTGCGAAGAGGTACTGAATTGAGTCGTTAAATAGACGACTGAAGCCTTCACATCGGGAGATCTCTCCCATTCGCTACCCGCAGACCCCGTCTCCCTCTCCAGCTGCTCTTCCACTCTCAACGACCGACCCCCTCTACTCTCGCTCCCTCACGCCCGATCTCCTCTCCAGCGACCGAGCTCCCTATTCCGATCCCCTTGCTCTGTCCGGTCCAGCCCGACGTCCACACGGAGAGAGAGAGAGAGAGAGAGAGAGAGAGAGAGAGAGAGAGAGAGAGAGAGAAGACAAGAGAGGAAGACCTACCTAGCCGAAGCCTCCTCTTGAAGTTCCGATCTCCATCTCTGATCCCAACTCCTTTGCTCCTCCCGATCCATTCCGTGCCGAGAGAAAGAGAGAGAGAGAGAGAGGAGGGAGAGACCGGCTTACCTCCTCCTCCATTGTTGTCCGACTTCGCACCTTCTCCGACTTTCCCTTTCTACCGAATCAGAAGTCACAACATTTAGTCGGAAGCAACAACAGAAGCTTGCTGTGAAGGTAGCTTCTCCCCTTCACGTGCTTCTTCGGCCAAATCCCTAAAACAGAGAATTAAACTCTCTGTTAACAGAGAGTTTAATTCTCTGTTAATCCTACTCAAATCATACATGATTCCTATGTAATTAATTATGAGTATTTATAATTAATTATTATTAATTATAAATAATTAAAATTGATTATTAATTGAGATTAATTTCAATTAATTATATTTAATTATCCTTTAATCTTAATTGAAAAGAAAATTATTTATAATTATTTATAATTAATGATTATTAATTATAAATAATTATTATAATTAATTATCAATTATGATTAATTTTAATTAATTATAATTAATTATTATTTTATATCTTAATTAATAATAATTTATTATTATTTATAATTAACTATTATTAATTAAAGATAACCATAATTAA